TGAGGTCGGGCTCTTCCTCCTCCTCCTCCTCCTCCTCCTCCTCCTCTTCCTCATCGGAGTCATCTTTCTTGCAGCAATAGTACTGTGCGAAAGGGAAGGGGTTGCATTAGGGGAAGCGAGCAGCCAGCGGGCAGATTTGGCTTCACAGCCAGCCCTGCCGCATCCCCGTTCCCCTCATCCCCCCATCAGAGAAACCCTCCGCCGGCCTCTCGCTGCTCCACCCCATCGGTACCTGGGTCCTGCAAGGCAGCAGGAGCGGGACAAAACCTGGCCAGGAGCTGAGTGTGCAGCAGGAGGCACCTGCCAAGGAGCTCGTCCTCTCCCCTCCCAGCGAGGTTTGCGAGGGGAAGGTATTTCACCGTGCCAGTTGGAAATTCCTCCAAGTAACCGCTATGCTTTTCATCACATGGGTGCTGCTGCATGGCACAGACTTCACATTAACTTTTAAAGAGCAGGAGGTTGTAGTTAGCTATTGTTGAAAGCCTCCTCGTTTAATTTACAGGAGGAAAAAAAAAATCTCCATCTGGTATGGCAAACCCAGCCAAGCCTACCCCTAAATTAGCAAGCGCTGCAGATCCTCAAAAGCCTTAGGGAAGTCCCCTTGCGCCGCGAGGAGGAAAGGACATAACTCTGCAGCACCTGGGGGAAAAGGGGGTTTCAACTCCCTGCCCATCATGGGCGAGAAAACCCCCACTGAGACCCCTCCTGCAGCAGCAGTTTGGCCGGAGGAGCAGCGACGCTGCTGGGGTTCGTGGCAAGATGGGGGACGGCCCCGGCGCTCACCTGTAGCCTACAGTAGCAGAGCACGGCAATGATGCACAGTAGGATCACCGTCGCTAGGATTCCCCCGGTGATAACAACAGTTCCCGCTGTCATCCGACCGATTCTCCATCAAACTCTGAAAAGCAGGGCCACAGGGACATGCATCACCCCAGGACATGGAAGTCACCTACCATGGCTTCATCATCACATAACAGACGTGACACCCCTTGAGGCATCCCAAAATATCACATCCCTGCTCCTCCCTCCCCAACTGGAAAACTATCACCCAATATCATTCTTCTCCTCTTAGTGAGGGGACACCTGAGATGCAGCATCATGTCCCCTCGCTGCCATCGCTGCCTCTGGCTTGGGGTCTTTGGGAAACACCCCACCATCCACCCCCAGAGCCTCCCCCCTTGCTGAGCCAAAAGGGCTCATCTCCACCTTGCCGACAGAAAATGCAGCTTCTGCTTCAAAATGCAGAAGCAAACCCGGGTTTTCACCAGGAAAAGCCAAAGGGGAGCCTCTGAACTCCGCAAGTCTGGCAGTCTGAGCCCAAAAACCATCACCCTGGCTGCCTGCCGGGCACCAATGGGTCTAACATTGACCACGCATGAGCCACGCATGA